AAAATTCGGGCCGCGAAGGGTTAAGAATTTTGGGCAAGTTCTACAGCCTGCAATTTTGTATTTTTGGATATCACTGAGTAGGTAATCGTCATACCAAAAATTATGAATATTGATTAACCCTTTGTGGCCCAATGTTGCCCACAGGCAACAAAATGTTTTAGAGCTTATATGTATTATACAGCTAGTAGATATCCATTCTTCGGATTTCCTATGTCAAGACCTGATTATGAACGACACATATCAAAAGAAAAATCTAAAAAATTAAAATTTTTGGTAAAGTTATGAGCTTTTTAATACAGACAAAAGGGCAGAAATGTGTACAGTACTAGTTTGTGTATACAGTACAAATTATTTAAATCGCTTCGTATTCGAAATGTACAAATTCTGTCATCAGAATTATTTTTGATCCTTGTAAAACAGAATATAGAGAATAATTTAAAATGATTTTTCCGCCGATTTTGCATTTGGTTTTCTTGATATTGGGCTTTTATTTTTCAGAAAGAATGTACTGTATCTCCCGAATGCAAGGATATGTCGATGTCAAATTTTGTCCATATCCTATCTAGGATAGTTGCATTAAATCTATGAACAGAAAATTGTTCTATGATTACGGAAAAAAATTCGGGGCTCAAAGGGTTAAAGTTTTATGGTAGCCCCCAATTTCCCAAAAATTCGGTATTTTTGGGAATTTGGGCACAATTTTTAGTCAAATTGGCTATATTATTTATTTCGGATTATGTAAAAAAATTAAAGCTATTGGTTGAAGCTGCAGTTTGATTATTAGGCACATTTTGATGTTTGGTTATAATTGTTTGACATATATTCCCATTATAATTTGTTATATCTCTCATATCACGGTGCCCCCAATTTTGGTATTTTGAGAATTTCCGACATTTTTTTTCCACCATTCCTCGTCATTTTATCTGATATATATAATTTATTTTTTACTTATTCAGTTATAAGACATTGGCATTCTTTTTGAATCAAAAATAAGTTAATTGACCAAAGAGAAATATAATTTTCCAGTTTGCTTGATTTTATTTTCCAAATTATTATAAAAAGGTCAAAAATATATTATTTCAAAAATTTAATCATTAATAAAAAAGAAAAAATATCAAATTTCACCAATTATACAATTGTCATTATTTACTGACAATAACAACAAAAACGCGTAACATTGTACTCTTTTCCCATTACGATGAAAAACTCACAGTACACATTACATACATCTGGCGCAATAAAGGGTTTCGGCTTGTTGCTATGCTGATTTTTTTCTAACAAAACAAAAACAACCCTTGTTTTTGTAACCACCTTAAATGGTGCACAGAAAACGAATAAAATAAACAAAAAATAAAATAAAAAATGTGACAGCGGTGGGATTCGAACCCACGCCCTTTCGGACTGGTGCCTAAAACCAGCGCCTTAGACCACTCGGCCACGCTGCCTATACCAGCATGTTGACAAACTGTGTATTTCAATGCAGTTGTGATGAATTTTTTAAATAAATTGTAGTATGATCATAAGATCAAATTACTTATTAACGAATGTTTTACTGCTGTTCTAAATTTTTTGGTCGACTGATGTCTGAGTGTTGGAAAGAGAGTTAATAATTTTTTTATGGAAAATACGTAAAGATTTTATGTGGTTTGTGTGCATTGAATGTTGTCGGCATCATAATGTGGTTAAGAGTGTTTTTCTTTTGTATGTATTTACATATCTACAAATAATAAACTGTGATGATACATAAATACATAAATCATTTAAGCAACAAACAAACATACACAGGACGTGGCATGTATAATTTTCATCATGTAATGTTTTTTGATGATTGATAAAAAATTGTTTTATTTTCACAAACAAAACGTGGATTTTTAAAAAAATATTTTCAATGACTAAAGGATCATTAAGCGTTTATTTTATAAAGAATGTTTTTTAAGGACCAAAAGACCAATATGTGGGTGTTTTTATACCATCCACCATAGTATGGAGGGTATAATAATTTTGTCATACCGTTTGTAACTCATCGAAATATTCATTTCCGACCCTATAAAGTATATATATTCTTGATCAGGGTAAAATTCTAAGACGATCTAGCCTTGTCCGTCCGTCTGTCCGTCTGTTGTAATCACTCTATCTTCTGAAGGAATTGTGGTAGAGTGCTGTAATTTTGCATAGGTTTGTCTTTTGTCTGCAGGCAGGTCAAGTTCGAAGATGGGATATATCGGTTCACGTTTAGGCATAGCTCCCATATAATAGTACCCCCCAATTTTCGGCATTTTCGGGCTCTTGAGCGCGTTTTTCAACCGAATACACTGAAATTTGGTACATTGAGTTCTTATTGGGTACTTAATGTCTCCACAAACAATTATAAATATAGGTCCACTTTTTCTGGTAGTCCCCGTATAACGGTACCTCCTAATTTTCAGTATTTTGGGGGTTTTGATTGTATTTTTCCACCGAATTGGCTGTAATTTAGTATTTTGAGTTCCTAATAGGTACCAAATCTCTCCACAAAAAATTATGAGTATTGGTCAATTTTTTCGGATAGTCCCCATAAAAGGGTACCCCCAATTTTCGGTATTTTGGGGTTCTTGAGCGCGTCTTTCAACCAAATTCGTTGAAATTTGGTACTTTGAGTCTTTAAAATCTCTCCAATAAAATATATAATATAACATTAATTAGGCATAACCCTCATATAATGATATCCCCAAATATTTGCTACTTCCTACACTATCTAATCATTGGTCCCCCTTTAGGCATAGTCTCATATAACTTTGTAATATAAATTACAGAGTTGGGCCACTTTTTAGAGCTTATAGATTTTAGAAAAATCCCCATTAAAATTGCTGAAATTTGTATTTGGTGTACATAATCGTTTGTAGAATTATCGGTATATGCCCACTTTTTGGTATGTTCCCTATATTTTTATTGCAAGTATCTGTCAGTATAACTATGGTGGAGGGTATCCAAAGTTCGGCGCGGCCGAACTTAACGCTTTTTTCACTTGTTTAAAAAATATTTTTTTAGAATGGAAAGACCGATAAACTTGATTTTTTTAAAGAATATTTTTTCAAGAACCAATAAAATTCAATGTTTTTTAAAGAATATTTTTTTCAAGAACCAAATAACCAATAAGCGTGGATTTTTTTAAGAATATATTTTTAAGAACCAAATGACCAATAATCGTGGAATTTTAATAGAAGACCTCAGAGGTCTTCTATACACATAAGGCCCGAAATGTATTTTAGAAAAAAATGTTCTTTTGTTTTTGCAAAATAGTCAGGCTTAATCCCAGTTTGCTGTTTTTATAAAAAAACAACTATTTATTAGTGGGGAATGTATGGCACTGTCCGCCGAGGGGTAAGGCGGGGAAGACTATAGTTTCGGATCTCGCCACTGATCCTCATCAGTTCCCTTAGTTTTTTGTTGGGATATTCTCCCCAGAAGCTATTAATAGCTTCTTTATAAAAAAACCTTTCAAACCCAAATGTCTCTTGTGACAATTCGAAGTTCTTACGTTACCAGCGATACGACCCCAATGCCTTACCCCTCGGCGGACAGTGCCATACATTCCCCACTAATAAATAGTTGTTTTTTTATAAAAACAACAAACTGGGATTAAGCCTGACTATTTTGCAAAAACAAAATACAAATGGTATCCCAAATAACCCGCCAAACACTACTGAAAAATGTTCTTTAAAAATTCTGAATCGAAAACCTCTGACGGCTCTCTAGGTATTAAAGACGTATGAAAAATTTATTAGTAGTAGACCTATAATGTTCCAGTTTCTCTGAGCGGCTTTTTCAGTATAGAGGATCTCTGGAAACTTTCTATGGCCTCCGAGGGTTTTCTATGTTAAAAATAGGGTATTCAATGTTTAGAACTCTTGACTCTTATATTTCTAGAAGACTTCTTTATAGATGTTCTGGAGAAGGGATTCTTTACAGAGGAGATAATTTTTATAGGCCAGGGATATATATATATATAGACGAGAAGTCTTTACGAAGGCTACACTATATTTTTTTGCGCATATTTTGCCTGGCGCCATCTGACATGTCCATTGAAAAGTTTTACAGTTTTTAGAATAAACTTGTGGAGTTCGATTACACGTATGACAACGTGTTGTGTTGTTTGCAGAGGTAGATTATCGAGTATCGATTACGGATTTGTAGAGGATAAAAAACATATTTGCAAAAAATTGTCATTATAGGCACAAAAAAATAGGTAGGTGGATAATTTTAGCAGCATTATACCTTCAGCCTTAAGGCTAATGAGCATAGATACACTTTGGTATGACAAAAATGTGACTCATTGAAATACCGGTGTTCTACCCCAAGCTTCAAGTTTCTACAGATTCCCAATCAGAGTGTGAATGAGATATTCATCTGAATTCTTTACACAACCTGAAGTTTGTTATAGCGAACAAGTCTGCATCATTAACTGAAATATGACAATTTTTGAGTTATACCGGTCTTGCAGCAATGTTTCGATTCTTTAGTTAAAAATAATTCTGTCGGAAAATATTGGAATATTCCTGGTACTATACCAATTTTAGATATTTTAAAGACCTAACTCATGATCTACGTTTCATCTTGCAGTTAATTCCGCACACGTAAGGAGCATTTCTTATATATACCCAAAGTGGTTTAGGGTATATCATAGTCGGACCTTTTCGACTTTGTTGCTTTACTTACTGTTTTTCTTCTTTGTATAACAATTATAATTAAATAAAGACAATTATAATTAAATATAATTAAATAAAGAAATTATATATAGAAAGAAATGCATTGATAATACCTACACGGTCAATTGAACATCGAATCTTGCCATGAACCCGACGCATTGATAGCAGGCGACATGAGATTTTGTATATAAATCGATTTTTTGATCGTAAAAAATCTTCAGTCGGTATTCATTTGGCATTGCTACTCGGATTAACAATACGCATTTTAAAAATTATAATTAATTGAAAATCGTTACATTGCCAATATCGTTTATAATGGCAAAATTGGTATTTCTACTTTTATTTGCGACAACGCTAGTGGTGAATAGTTGTATTGCCCGTAAAATTGGTTTTCGTCGCAATAATTTTCCCTATCTTGACGATGGAGCTACATCACGTATTTTTAGCGGACATAAGGCAGATCTGGGAGAATTTCCATGGTTGGTAAATTTGGAGTATCGATCACGTAAGTAGACCAATTTGTTTCTTTTTGGGATTGATCAACACTTTATATTTATCAGTTCACAATAAATTGGAGTTGTTATGTGCCGGCAGCATTATCAATCGTCGTTTTATTCTAACAGCTGCTCAGTGTGTGACGGGTAAAATGGAGTCCATTGGAAAACTGTAAGAATTGCAACTTTGATTATATGTTAAAAACATTAAGTCGATCAAATATTTTAGGATATCTGTTCGTGTCGGTGAACATGATATACGTACTGATCTTGATTGTGAGGGGAATATTTGTGTTGATCCATACCAACGATTCAAAATCGAGAGATATATCGTTCATCCCGACTACTATGTTGACGGACATAATAGGATATATAATGATATAGCATTAGTGCAACTTAATAACGATATTGTATATTCTAAATCTATTGCGCCTATAGGTCTACCCGAGAAGAATTTACCATCGTTGATACCGGGACAAAAATTAACAGTTGGTGGTTGGGGAGCTGGTTGGATGGATGAAGTCTGGTGTATGTATTGTTATGCTGCATTGCTTTTTTTTCTCAATATTCTCTTGTTATTTATGATTTTTCGTTTCTCTTTCAAGATGGAAAAAATATACCAGTTAAACAACTTGAAAATGTTCCCTATGTTCTTAATGAAAATTGTGAAATGGCCAATAGTACAAGTCACTTATGTGCTGGCGAATTTCGAAAGGATAGTTGTGATGGTGATGGTGGTGGTTCATTGATTCGTTTTGTGAATCACAAACCAATCATTGAGGGTATTGTTTCCTATGGCTACGGATGTGGAATGGAAACACCTTCAGTTTATACTCGCGTCTCATCGTTTTACGATTGGATTCGTGATAATGCTGTACCCGTTAAACATGAATAAATAACATGTTTAGAAAAATCTCAGAATTGTTCTCAAAATATTTAATTATATATTCGGCAATACTAACAAATGTTGTTATCAACAAACTTCAATAAAAATAGATGTATGTTGAGCAAACTAAAAAAATGGAGAGTAATTCAAAAGGAGATTGACAGGAGGAGTTACAAAATGGTGCATAACGGTTCAAGCTTACATTTTTCACCCATCTAGAATTCCCAGCCATTAAGAAAACTAAATAACTCGGAAGTCTATTCAAAATTTCCTTGAAATTTTAAGGATGTGGGGTCTCAAACAATTCAATCTCAATTCGGCATGCTATGCTAGATTTCGTGTCAATCGAAGAAAGATTAGATTGTTGGTGCATCAAACTAAGCAATTTGTTTGAAACGATTGCTCTGGAAGGTAACAATCGATTCGGTGTCAATTTAGCTTGTCGCAATAATTTTTTTCTGATGCAGGCTGTGGTATTATTGTTAGAAATCGAAGGCCTAGATTTTTAAGTGATTTTCTATGGTGTGGATTTTTGATGAATTTTTAAGGCGCATAATTTATGTCGAGGATTTTTTCCAATAATGTTCTAAGGCGAGAAAGAAAATAAAGCATCATAAATATTAACGTTCGTATTGTATAGCATTTTCGAGTGCGATATTTGTAGGAGCGTCTGAGCGAGTATGTGTTGTGGCAGTGAGCGAAGTATCATAAACAAAATCGATACCAACTTCGACGATCGCAGCACTGAAAAATCCACTATGCATTCGAAAATTACGAATGCGATCTCTAGCAGAGAGCGTAGAAAAAACGTACAAAAACTCTCTCATACAGTCCGAGCCAGGTGGGAATGACTCTTAGGAGAATTACAGAGAAGATTTCCCCATTGAATCTATACAGTGGCCAAACAATGTGATTAATTGGTATGCTGAAGAAATCATACATTGCTTTAGAGTATTTAAAAAAAAAAATTCTTTGGCTTTTCTGAGATCAAATATCAATATATGTTAGTCTCTATATAACGGTTAATCCAAGTTTTGGCATTTTGGGGTAAATTTGTTTTCGATAGCTCAAAATTCAAATCTGGGAGTCAGTAGTTGGACATGTTGTTACATGTTTCAAAATGCATTTTGTAAAGACTGTACGTTTCCACGTCATGTTTATTACATATCATATAAACACCTTCTTTTAAGAGACATATTTCACAATTTTAAATTATATTTTCAAGACACTGTTTCACTATTTCTCCAGTTATAAGCTATTGGTTATAAAAAAAATCCCTCGCCTCCCTAGAACTTGAACAGTAATGTTTTTGAATGAATTTTACAGAAATTTCAAGATCAAGGCATTCTGCCACATTTCTTGGAATCAACAACTTGCTGTACATTCAACAATGTTAACCCTTTAAGTCGCAAATACTTATCCTATGTTTTGTACGACGGCGAATTTGTTGATGCATTTAAATCGATACGCAATTTATTTACGAAAGCGCACTCATAAAAAGATTTATATTTTGACATAACGCCCATATAAAGGTTCCGAAGAATTTTCTCAAGGAAGTGATTCTAATTACAAAAAATACGTTTGTCGAACATTTTCTATGCCCATTTCTTGACATAACTCCCACGATTACTTTCCTGCTTCCTGGTGTATAAAAACAGTTTTCAACCTGTGTTTCTGTAATTTGTTTTTTTTTTTTTTTAATAAACAAAATCTATATATATAAAAGAGTTGCGTTATAAGTGACTGACTGATCATCAACGCCCAGACGAAACGGCTAAAGCTAGAAGCTTGAAATTTGGCATGTAGGTGGGGTTTGGTGAGTAGGCGTGTGATAAGGCGGGGTTTTTGGAAATTCGTACTAAAAGGTACTAAAAAGTACTAAAAACTGTATTACGCGGGAACGGTTAGATGTAGAACTTTGAAATTTGGCACGTAGCTTTGTCTATGGCGAGCGGACTAGAATTTGTGAAAAAATTTGGAATTTAGTACTTAGATGTACTAACCAGCGAGCGGAGCAGTATAGTCGGACGGGGCCGACCATATAATACCCTACACAACTACCACGGAACTCAAATTTTCTGTCTCATGGAACATTTTAAAGCGATCAGCGCTATAGTTCCCCTCTGTAGAGTGATAATGGGTTACTAAATAATATACGAATACGGAGATACCTGTAAATATTTAGGCGTAACTCCCACATCCGAGCACATACAACAACAATAATTGGTATTAATGTAAAGGTCAACCACTCCTCTTGGATATAATATCAACTTCTCGAGTCTATGTCCTTCAGGGGCAAATATATACGCTATAGAATACAAATTTTGTCATTTTTCACACAAAATTCAGGATCCATTTGACCCGCTAAATATTGACCGATCGTTATCAAAACAGGCATGCTTATTCTTTGGCCCGATCCCCTTCTCCATGCAAAATTTCACGATGTTCGGGCCATTATTGCGACCTCTGGAGCGACCAGAAAAATCGAAAAAAAATTAGTATTTGGTCCATTTCATGCCCTAAATATTAACCGATCTTTTCCAAAAACAATAGGGGTCTTCATTGGCCAGAACCCATCATACATGCAAAATTTCGTGAAGATTGGTCCATAACTGTGGCCTGTATCGTGTTTACAAATTATAATGGACAGACGGACGGACACACATGTCTAGATCGACTCAGTTAGTCGATATGACGATCGGTATACTTAAAGGTGGGTCTATGACCAATATTTCGCGGCGTTACAAACTTTTGGGGCTGCACAAAGCTATAATACCCTGACAACATAGTTGTGTAGGGTATAAAAAGTACTAAATATTGTATTTGAATGGAATTGGTGAAGATTCATAACTGAAACTTGGTATGGAGCTTAAGCCATTACAAAGAGAATACTGTGCAAAAATATTTTTTGGACATTAGTACTAAAAGGTACTAAAAAGTACTAAAACTGTATTACTCCGGAACGGTTGGAAGTAGAACTCTGAAATTTGGTATGCAGCTTTGTCAGTGATTAGCAAATCAGAATTTGAGAACAAGTTATGGAAATTAGTACTAAAGGTACTAAAATGTACTAAATATTATACTACGATGGAAAATGTAGAGATAGATGTCTGAAATTTGGTATGTAGCTTAAGTCATTAAAAATAAAATGATGTACAAAAAATATTTTTTGGAAATTAGAACAAATATGGTACTAAATAGTACTAAAAACTGTATTACGCCAGAACGGCTGGAACTACAACTCTAAAATTTGGTATGCAGCTTTGTCATTTATAAACAAATCAGAATGTGTGAACAAATTTTGCAAATTAGTACTAAATATTATACTACGATGAAACAGGTAGGGATAGATATCTGAAATTTGGTATGTAACTTAAGCTATTACAAGTAGAATGATGGGCAAACATATTTTTTGTTTTTGTTTTTTTGTAAATTAGTACTAGAATATATTAAAAAGTTCTGAAATTTCACATATAGCTTTAACTATTTCAAATAGAATACTATGCCATTTTTTTTTTTAATTTAGCACTAAAGTTGCGATAAAAAGTACTAAATATGTAAATACAATGTAACTGGTAGAAATAGAAATCTGTAATTTTGTATGTAGCTTACTCTAAGCATAACTTTTTGGAATTAGTACTAAATACTGTAGTATAATGGAACCGGTAGGAATAGAAATCTGAAACACGGCACATAGATTTAATTATTACAAATACTATGCTATATATTAATATATTTTTGAAATTTGTACTAAAATGGTACAAAATATTAACTTATAATGGAAAAGTCATAGATTGAGATCTGAAATTTAGTATGTAGCTTAACTATTACAAATAGACCGATATGCACAAAATTGTACTAAATATTGTACCATAGTGAATGGTAAAAAATATAAATGTAAATTTAGAGTACAAAAATATCCAACGATAATTAACAGGCTTGGTTTATTGAAAATTCGTACTAAATGGCATCATTAATACAAAATATTGCACAGTATGGGAACATTTTTTGTATATTATAAACAAATAGAATACGAATCGAATACAAGTACTAAATATTGTATACGGTAGAATGGATGAAGATAGGAACCTGTTATTAAATAATTATCTGGAACTATGACAATAACAATTTATACATAAAAATTTTGCATTAATAACTTCTAAAATGTACTAAAAAGTACAACACATTGTATACGGCGGTACGGGTGGATATAAAAACAATGCTTTTGGCAATATTGTTTGACATTTGTACTTAAAGTACTAAATATTTTATACGACAGAACGAGTAGAGGTAGAGTCCTGAAATTTTGTATGTATATTTTGTTTAAACAAATTAAAAAAAGTATTTTTTTTTTAATTTTTAGTAAAAAGTACTAAATAGAAAATGTTAGAGAAAGATATCCGAATTTTAGTATTACTCTTTGACTATGGTAAATAAAATGTTTAATGGAAATATATACGGTTATATGAAATATAGTTTGGAATCCCACATGAATCTATACTACAGCGAATGATTATTTGAATTTTGGTTAAAATTTCTAGTGTAGTGAAAAACAGGCGAGACTTCAAATACAAATAAGTGAAACTATGCAATAAGCCGCTGAACATCACAAGTACTAAAGTGTAGTCAATTTTAAATGCTAAAGTTCCAAATTTTCTAAAATAACAATACTGATATTTCCAATGATGTTTCCAACCACATTGGATCGATATTTTGATGTAATGAATAGACCTCGGATTTTTGCATATTTTTTATGCTTTATCCGATTGGACTCAAATTTTGTATTTAGGCGTTTCATGCTTTAATTAATCGATATTTGGGGTCATGTCAAAAATAAGCAAAAAATATGCAAAATATATGCAAAATATATGCAAAATATGCAAAAATATGCAAAATATGCAAACATATGCAAAATATGCAAAATATATGCAAGGTATGCTAGGTCGCAATATTAAAGATAGAACTTTGAAATTTTGCACATATATTATTATTACTCCTAGGATGTTTGG